GTCACATCCAAGATCAAAGTGCGTGAAGAGTGATAACGCTTCCAAAGCTTGCCATCTGTTGGAATTAGGAAAATGGACAGGAGGCTGTCACGGGATGCTAGTCCATGTCCTTGTTGGGCCGGTATGCTCAGAGAAATGGACGCGCAATCCAATTAATTGTCATTGAGGAGTGTGCCCTTCCGAACCCATTCGCCCTACCAAGAAACGATCCTTCTGGGAAAGCATATTTGCAGAAACTCGCTTTATGATCAAGGGGCCCCTTGTCGGCTTGTGGATGCAACCCAATTCCTTGACACCAAACAGCAACTGTGGCATGATGACTTGCGGCGCTTTCTGGGGGAAGAGGTGCAGGTTGCATGCAGCAGGGACTGGGTGGGCATCCTTTCAGCAAGAGGTTTTGCCAAGTCGGGGGAGGCGGGGGATCCGCTTTGTGGGGCGTAGGAAAACATGTCTGTTTCCAGCGAACCTTCGTTCTTCGTTGTGACTTTGCCTTCGGATGGCGAATCCGCCGACATTTTTCGGCGTGTCGGATACTTACTAGAGGATAGAGGATAACCCCGTCAAATAGCTAGGGTTTTGGGGGCGGGGGGGGGGGGGGCACGTACCGCGCGGCAATTTGATGACGTTCCACTAAACGTAGTCTTCGGGGAGCCGGTGTCGCAAAACAGGGGTCCCAGGCTCCCTTTGCCGGCTTTTTTGCTGGCTTGGGCTTCCTGCATCCTTTTGCCGAAAATCTCGAAAAACTCTGTGTTTTTAGGCGTCCTCTTTGCAAAAATGCTGGAAAAACCGTGTTTTTTGCGGGAAATACTGGGAAGCAAAGGGGAAATGCAAGGAGATATACATACATTACATTACATTACAGTACAACACATTACATTACATTACATTACGTTACATTACAACACATTACATTACATTACATTACATTACATTACATTACATTACAATACATACATACATACATACATACATACATACATACATTACACACATACATACATACATACATACATACATACATACATACATACATACATACATGCCATACCATACCATACCATACCATACCATACCATACCATACCATACCATACCATACCATACCATACCATACCATACCATACCATACATGCATGCATACATACATACATTACATTACATTACATTACATTACGTTACGTTACGTTACATTACATTACATTACATTACATACATACATACTTTACATACATTACATACATTACATACATTACATACATACATACATACATACATACATACATACATACATACATGCATACATACGTACATACATACATTACATACGTACATACATACATACATACATTACATTACATTACATTACATTACATTACATTTCATTGCATTGCTTTACATTACATTACATTACATTACATGACATACATACACACATACATACATACATACATACATACATACATACATACATACATACATACATACATTACATACATACATACATACATACATACATACATACATACATACATACATACATACATACATACATACATACATACATACATACATACATACATACATACATACATACATACATACATACATACATACATACATACATACATACATACATACATACATACATACATACATACATACATACATACATACATACATACATACATACATACATACATACATACATACATACATACATACATACATACATACATACATACATACATACATACATACATACATACATACATACATACATACATACATACATACATACATACATACATACATACATACATACATACATACATACATACATACATACATACATTACATTACATACATACATACATACATACATACATACATACATACATACATACATACATACATACATACAACATACATACATACATACATACATACATACATACATACATACATACATACATACATACATACATACATACATACATACATACATACATACATACATACATACATACATACATACATTACATACATACATACATACATACATACATACATACATACATACATACATACATACATACATACATACATACATACATACATACATACATACATACATACATACATACATACATACATACATACATACATACATACATACATACATACATACATACATACATACATACATACATACATACATACATACATACATACATACATACATACATACATACATACATACATACATACATACATACATACATACATACATACATACATACATACATACATACATACATACATACATACATACATACATACATACATACATACATACATACATACATACATACATACATACATACATACATACATACATACATACATACATACATACATACATACATACATACATACATACATACATACATAAACATTACATACATACATTACATACATACATACATACATACATACATACATACATTACATACATACATACATTACATACATACATACATACATACATACATACATACATACATACATACATACATACATACATACATACATACATACATACATACATACATACATACATACATACATACATTACATACATACATACATACATACATACATACATACATACATACATACATACATACATACATACATACATACATACATACATACATACATACATACATACATACATACATACATACATACATACATACATACATACATACATACATACATACATACATACATACATACATACATACATACATACATACATACATACATACATACATACATACATACATACATACATACATACATACATACACATACATTACATTACATTACATTACATACATACATTACATACATACATACATACATACATACATACATACATACATACATACATACATACATACATTACATACATACATACATACATACATACATACATACATACATACATACATACATACATACATACATACATACATACATACATACATACATACATACATACATACATACATTACATACATACATACATACATACATACATACATACATACATACATACATACATACATACATACATACATACATACATACATACATACATACATAACATACATACGAGAGAGGGAGATTGGGGAGAGAGAGGCTTGGGGGGATGGGGAGGATGGGGAGCAGAGGGAGGGAGAGAGGACCACAGAACACACAAGGGACACAAAAGAGAGAGGAAGAAGGAGAAAAGGGGGAGGACAATGTCGGCGGACTGAGCCGGAGGCTCTAAAGTTTCATGGTGGATTCGTGGCTCCTTCACCGGACCTCCCCTGTTTCAAGCAAGCAGGCGCCTGGTTCCCCACTCCACCGGCGCTCTGCAGCATTGCCTGGATACCGATGTAGTTCATGTCCAGCAGCAGCGAGAATGCCCCCAAAATATCCATGTAGAAGAAGAAGGAGTTGATGTAGGTTTGGCGCATGCCGATGCACTGAATGACGAACTCAAAGGCGAACATGAGGAAAATGATCGTGAGAAGTATGTCAAGATCTGTATTGGTGTCCCTGTCCGCTAAAATCCAAATGTCTGGCAGGAAAAGCGCCATCAGCAAGGCAGCAAACATGATGAGCAAGAAGATCTTGCTTCGAATGATCAGGCGACAGTTAGGTACCAACTCTGCCTTGAATTTCTGCCAGCCTCTCAAAGTGCGCTGGCTGCCGGCACTACTGTTTTGGCTCATCTTGGGCGCCACGCTGGTGCGGCGGCTGAACACAGTCATCGCGTGGCTGTTGGTGGGGGATGCCGGCTGGAGCGGAGAGGGCGAGGTGTCCGGGAGGGCGCCCGGCAAGCTCAAGGCGTTGCTGGGGGCCTGTGAGGCCGCCCTGGGGGGCTCCGGCACCGCAGACCCCGACTTCGGCGGATCTGGGCCCGCGGGTCTCATGCTCATGCGCCGCTGGCGCTCGATCTTCTCGGCCGCCCCGCCGACCTCGTCATCCGCCACCACCACCCGGGACTGCCTGCGGCCGGTCGTCTTGCTTCCACCCCCGCCGGGGCCAGAGGCGCTCTTGCGGCGCTGGTCGTTGAAGGCCCTCAAGGACGGCGCCGCCTTCTTCGTCACGCTGGAGCGCCGCGCGTTCTGCACGGCCAGAGCTGCGCTGTCCGCGGCGGACAGCTTTCCTGGCAATGGGATCAGTTGCCCGGTGAGCTCTGGTCGCAACTCTGCCTTGATCACTTGCACGTTTATGGGCTCAACATGCGCAGACTCTTCAGACGAAGAGGCTGACAGGCCGCTACGGCCGCTCTTGCTGGCTGCAACTGCCTCACCACCGGCAGCCTCCTCCTCCTCTTCTGAGGAACTGTCCGAAAAGCCGCTCTTCTCGCTCTTCTCGCTGATCTGTCTGGCTTTACCTTGCGCAGGTTCTTCGGCCTCCCCTGAGGAGGAAGAAAAGCCGCTCTTGCTTGTCGCAACTCGCACGTTTCCTTGACCCTCTTCATCCTCGCCGTCGCTCAAGCTGGAGACCTGATCGGGCCCGGGGCTGGACATTGGAACGATTGGCGTCATGTTAACGTCCTCATCCATGCCCATTGCGCTTGGCAAGAACCAACCGAGGTTGGCCGCTCAAGCTTGAATGGATTCTATGCTACATGCCTGCTTGAGAAAGCTGGGGCCCGGAAACAGGCGAGATGCATCTGCACAAACAGGTACGTCGCCGCACAATCCAAGCCATGCCAACTGCCCCCCCCCCCTGAAAAAGAAGGAATCATGGCAATCAGACAGCCAAGGAGGGGGTCCGTAAGCACCGTTATGAGCCCAACCCGCCACTGGTGTTTCACCCCCGCCAGAAGGGACCTGGGAGTGCCATCCCATGAGGCGCCTAAGCTTTTTCAGCAATTCCTGGGCCCTTGCGTTGTTTGGGAAAGAAAGTAGCAAGCCATGTCACCGAAAGCCGCTCCTCCACCTTTTGCCCCATCTCAAAATAGTGCAGCTCGTGGTCATCGCGCGCTGCCAGGACGGAGGTGGTCTTGTCCAACCAGCACACCGCAGTGACCTTCATCCGCGAGTCAATTCGCCAGCTGGCTCAGCCAGCAGGATATATATATATATATATAAAGAAAACACATATATACATATATGATGACGACGACGACGACTACGATGATGACGACGACGATGATGATGATGATGCTGTCTGGCTTTTTGCTTTTGGAAAACAGGTTTTTCCGCAGACAAACGGGCGGACGAGCGGGCGGACAGACAGACAGGCAGACAAAGCAGGCAGGCAAACAGACAGATAGATAGATAGCTGACAGAGAGAGAGAGAGAGAGCGAGAGAGAGAGAGAGAGAGAGAGAGCGAGAGAGAGAGAGCGAGAGAGAGAGAGCGAGAGAGAGAGAGAGAAAGAGAGAGCAAGAATAAACAAACAGAACGGTGGGGATTCGTGCGAAGCGCTTGGCAGAACGCAATCTCAGCAAACACTCCGAAACGGGAAGTCCAGAGTTGCACTCACCAAAAGGGGGGGAAACGACCGAGCAAGAGCAAGTCCGTAGTTCTCGGGCTCTCTGAAGTCTGCCTTGTTCCTTCGATTTGTTTGGAGGCGGAGACATTGACCCGCCCTGGCAGCTCAGATGGACGCAACCAACTCTTGAGCCCCAATTGCGGCCATGACCGCTTCGCACCCTGCGGATTCTCCCGTGGAAGCCTAGGGGCAAAGCGGAATCCGATTTTTGCTCACCGACCGCGAAAACTATAACAAGAGAGCCACGGTGCACCTAAGGCGCTTGGCACAAGAAGGGAACCACGAGCATCTGGCATAAGGATCCTAGGAGAAGCGTCCATTCTTTACAGGGATCCTTCTTCTCAGGAACCATCAAACACCCACGGGAAACAGCTTTTTGGGTTCTGAATCAAAAGAAAGAGGGTTGAACAGAATGGAAAAGGAATCACGCCTTCTAAGGATTGCAGATTCCCTGTGGACAAAAAAATCGGGACCCAAACCCTGGAAACGAGGATTGCAGATTCACTTTGAAAAACAGCGGACCAAAAAAACACCCTGGCAAACGGGGCTTGAACGGGCCTCCCCAGCCATGGTCCGCGTGCCCAGCAGCTCAAAGTCGCCGGAGGCGACCTCCGATTTGCCTGGCGCGGCAGCTCCGCGGCTCCGATCCCTTCGGGGTCTTGGCTGCCTGGAAAGTGGCTGACCCACTAAGTAGAACCCGTCCCAGAAAAGATGTTCCCTCCAGAAGTGGGCCGAATCCAACCACTAAAAGGGGGCACACCGCCCTATTCATCAACCAGGGCTGTATTAATCCGGGGTTAACATTGAGTGGCTGACCTGGATGCCCTGTTGGTAGCAAGGCTGCCCTTGCGCTTAGAAGGCGCCTTTGAAAGAACAAACCCGATCCCGCTTGTTTTCCACATGGGACACGTCTGTCAAACCTGCCTACCCATGGAAAGTACCGAAAAACAAGAAAAGACCAAAACTGGCAACGGACCTCTCCCGACATGGGGATTGCCTCCTCGCCTCCCCGCCTCCCGCGTGCCTCTTCGGTAGAAGTTGGCCACGCGGTCCCGGGAGATGGTCACAAAGTGCTGGCCATCTGGCGAGAACCGGATGCAAGTCACCTGATCCGAACCGAGGAAGAGCTGGATGTGTCTCTTTCCGGGTACCCCTCATCATGGATTTGGGTTTGCCTTTGGTTTCCCTTTAAAGCCAACCAAAAGAGTGTTTGTTTGGGACAAAAGTCCGTCTCTTGGCTGCCATCTTTCTTTTCTCTGTGTCTCTCTCTCTGCATTTCTTTGCCAATGACCGCAGCCGAAGTGGTCAGTTGTCACATGAAACGTGCGAACATGGAAGCGCCCGAGGCCATCCAGAGCGCCACAAGCAATCCTCTCAACGCTTCCTGCTGCACCCTCCTTGCAAGAAGGCTCCACGGGAGCCACGACAACCGGGCATCGAAACAGGCAGCCGCCACTGCAAGCATGGAAGCAAATGGTGTGCAAGCGTCGCTGAAAGAGAGCCGCCAGATTGCGAGACATGCGAAGCCCCCGAAGAAATCAAGCACGAATTGCGCCACGTATGTGGACCCACGTTGGGCCGAGCTTTTCCGGTGACCACCTTGGCATTCACATGTTTGAAAGGGGGATCCTTCAACCTGGCTAGCGCTTTCGTTTCATGTGGGACACACGCAACTGGAAGGACAAAAGGAAAGAAGAGATAAAAACGAGAAGCAAAAAGGGGGGAAAAAACACAGGAACCCATTTCCTCAGTCCTTCCACATCCACGGGAGGCCCTCACCAACCCCGCCCGCCGAGCCGCCTGTTTCTGGTGGTCCTTGAAGCTCTGCAACCTTTGGAACTCCCAAGCCCCGTTCTGCAGCGCCAGTCGGAGGCGCTGCGTCTCGCCCCCCATGGTGGTCCTCAGTTTTGTTTTCTTCGGTCAGATCTGTGCAGCTCAAAGAAATGGAGCCCAAGATGGCACCTGGGCTTGGGCGCCTGCGGTTTGCCCGAGCGCTTTCATTTGAGCCACCTGCGCCTGTTGCGAAAGGCCAAGGCAAGCCAGATTTGCTTGAGCCAAGCGGCTTGGCCTGAATCTAGGCATCTGAAGAGCATAGTAAGGGATACGGAATGCTCTGGTTCCCCCCACCTTGGCTCTCAAAAGTGGGCTGGCCGCGATTTCAAGGCCCAGCGGCACCAGAAGCTCCTCCCCTGCGGCCGCCAAGCCCAACGGGGGAGAGCTGAGGTCGCTGTACTCCACCACAGCCTCCCCGGCCAACAGCCCTCAGCGAGCGAGTCGGAACATCGAAGCGGCGCTGAGACCGGAGAAAAAATCGAAGCTCGACGTGGTCGAAGCGCCGCTGGCTCAGTCCTCAAAAGTTGGGGGGCGCCTCACCGCTCGACCCCAAGGCCCCAAGGGAACTGAAGGGAAATGAAGGGAATTGCAGGGGCCTGGCAGGAAATGAAGGAAAATGAAGTGAAATGAAATACTGGCTCAGTTAGGCCCTGTGCGCTCCAACTAGGCTGGCTCTGCAAATCGTGGAGCGAAAAAGGGCGATTCCGCCACAGGTTCCTTCCAGGACACAAGATCCAAACTAGGCAGGCGCCACCTGTCCAAAGGGGCGGGTGAAAAACCTGGAAGGTCCCGAGGCCCTGCGGTTTGGAGCAATTCGAGCTGACGAAGTGTTCCCAACAGGCGGTCATTTTCCGAGGAGCCCAAGGAGTGTGCCCAACACTCCCCACCTTGGAACTGGAAGCCTGCCGGGCTTCAGGGCCCCAAATCCATACGCGACTTGACCCCAGTCGCCAGGGAATGACATAACTCAGGCAGCCCGCAACAACGAATTGCACCAGGGCTTTGAAGAACTTGCCCCGAAAAAGAAGAAGAAGAAAAACAACTCTTGCGGGCTTCCTTCTACTTGCCAAACAAAAGATCCTTCGGGCAAGCCAACTTCATATCTGGGCTGTTCAAAATGGAGCGGCGATCAATCCTACTCCATTATCCCGATTGCACAGCCACTGCGAAGGGGACCCTTCTCGCAACCCAAGGTAAGGATTAAGGATCGCCCAGCGTATCACATTTGAAGCCCCACACACACACGGACCAAAAAAACAAACAACCTTTCTCGGCAAGCCACCTTCATATCACATTTGAAGCGGAACCGCCCGATACCTTCCACCCCCTTTTTGGCCCAGCAACTCAGCCGCCGGTCCACGGTGGCCACGATGACCCGCAGATCCGACAGCCCAGCGCCGGCCCAGCACACTGCCGTGACGTTGGCCGAGTAGGGCTCGGGACCTCCCCAGGGAGCCCCCAGAGAAGGAGGGGGACGCGGGATTTCTTGATGCAACCGATGCTACATTCAGTTAACCACACAATCTGCATCTGAAAAGGTTCCTGACGAAGGGAGAGGAATCAAAAAGCAAAAGCCACCCCATGCCCACACATCCCCAATAATGTTGCATCCACCCACCGCGCCTGACAGGTCCTCACAGGGCCCTGTGCAGCAAGCCCCTCCACTCAAGGCCTGCAGCGCTTCCTCTGCCGCCTGACGTGCGAGCAGCAGCCCTGCTCGACACATGGCGCGCCGAGGAAAGCGAATTAGCAATTGGGGGTTGGTCAAAAGGTCCAACGTACACGGGATGACCATTGGTTGGAAAACCAGTCAAAAGATCTCATACAGGGGAATCGTCATTTCAGGCAGTCTGAGGTGGTGCGGGATGTCGTCCATCCACAGCACTTCCCACATGGGAAATGTTACCCATGGCACGCCATGGCCATCTCAATCACCCCCTGCGCGCGGACAGAAGCTCGAAGCGCTCTCGCCTTTGAGTCTGCGTCCACCTCGGCTTCCGGCGCGCTGGTCCTGCTGAACATGTCCAGGCTGGACTGCAGGATGCCGGCCACCGGCAAATCCCCGTCCTGGGGTTTGCCAAACGGCCATGCGAGCGGCTCTCGAACTTGGAACCAGGGAAACCGAAGAACAAAACGCCGCCACCTGGCCCCCCCCAATGTTAGGACCCCTTCCACAGGCCGTGATTGCAAGGCGAGTCGGACATAACATGGGAGAAGCCACTCACCGTCCGTGAAGAGTTCCCTGATTTCAGACTCGGACCCATCAACAAGCCGAGACCCGACAGCGTTGCGTTCCGGCCGAGGGGCGCAATACTTCACGCCGGTTTCGGACTCCAGTGCCACCAGCGCTTCGATCAGTTCCTTCTCCTTCCAAAAGTCAAGCGCCCCCAATTCTCCGGCCCCCCCCCCTCCAAAGGCATTCGCACCATGATTGCTTTTTCGCCTGACCCTTAGCCCGGTGAGAGCCTTCCATAAACCTTCCATATGAAGCCAAATGGATGGGAATTGCAAACCGACGAGCCAGCGAGCCGTTCTTTGCCTTGCGAACAACTTCCTCCAACGAGCGTGGGTGACATCAAGTTACAAGCGACTGTCAGCTTGCCCGTTCAACCTTCAACCTCAACCCCCCCCCCACAACAACAAAAAACAGGAAAGAATGGGAGGCAAGAAACAACCAAGCAAACAAGCAAGCAAGCCAACAAAAAAAGCAAGCAAGCAAGCAAGCAAGCAAGCAAACAAGCAAAGAAGCAAGCACAACAAGCAAAAAGTGCCTGCAGGAACTGCAGCACCACCTTCAGCTGGTACCGTGCGCGATCGTCCAGCTCATCACCATCGGCTTTGTACCCGCCCTTGAGATCGTCGTCCCGGATTTTGCCCAGCATGGCTCAAGTCGCACGGGGAAGGTGTCCGCTGCAAGTCTGGAAACAAAGCACAAGGCTCCAGAGTGGATATGTAGAACGTACGGCCGCAGTATCCACTGCACATGTACATCTACATCTGCAAATAAGCCAAGGTGTATGCATGGCTTAGTTTTCATTCAGTCAATGCTTGTGGCCACTTATTTGCATTCGACTTGTATACATGACATGTCAGATCATGTCTAACTTAGCTCCTGTCGTGACCCGCACAGCCTTTGCAAGTAGTCTACGCCTGGAACATGAGCCGCAGGAACAAGCTTTGGGGCCAGAAAACACATAGGTGTCTTTGGCTAGGATCGGGGATGGGAGTGCCCGAATGCCAATCTTTGCAGTGAGACCGGGATCAGCTCGTTCAAATTCCAAAGTGCAACGGAATCCTATCCAAGGAAGCCGCGTGCGAGATCCCTGCATGTAGCAACACACTACAGCAATGCCCCCGAAACGAGGATCGTCGCGACACAGAAAAGCCTCCCTGAGAAAACGGCGGCCGAGTCCCGGCCTGCCTCGAGCACCGCCGCGTACGCCGCCTCAAAGCGGCCGCAGTCCTCTCGCAAGGCCATGGGGTCACTGGCAGGGCCTGGCGCGGCTGGTGCGGGCCGCGCGCGGCAGAGTTCAGGACACTTGCTGGCTCCATAGGCAGGGAATGAGTTGGCATGACCCTCACAAACCATGCCCTATGGCTTCCTCTGAGTGAATCGGGAAACTCAAGACAAACCACCAAATAAGAGGTTGCCCCAAGAGAAAGACAGACCCATATCCACTCGTTCACTGCGCTCACCATGCTGATGGACCAACTTTGAGGGAGAAGGGCAAACGGACTCTCCAACAAGTCTTTGGGGTCTTGTTTTCAGGGGAAGCTCTGACCTGCTTTGGCTAGCCAGAAAAGGCTCGAACTTCAGCAACCTACCCGGGGTCTCAAGTTTCGCCACCTAAATCAAAACGAAAACCACCCCCTTCCTTTCTTTTTTTTTTGGGGGGGGGGTTTTGCCATCTAAGTCTTATAAGTTCAAACCGGAAACCACCCCTTGGGTGGGAAACTCCCCGCTCGTTGGGCCATCTGAACGGGGCACCAGCTCCATGGAAAACACGTCTCCCAGCGCCTTGCCGGAAGGCGGCGCCGTTCAGCACCTCCGCGAAGGCGTCGGCGATGTCCGGCCGCACCTGGAAATGGGAGACGCCCCACGGGGGTTGACCCAAAACGGGTTTAACGGGGGGACAAGATAATGTCGACCCCGGATTAATAAACCCCTGATTGTTAATATGGGGGTGTTCCCAATCCCCACTAAAAACCAGCGACACCCCCCGTATTCGTAAACAGGGGTTTATTAATCCGGGGTCGACATTACCCTCCGCCAACTAACATGTGTCACGGTCCACGGGAACTGTTGGGGGGAGGGGGGGGAGGGGCAGGGGGGGAATGAAGCTCTGTTTGTCTCAGTTGTTTCCAGGAGCTGCAGATGGTCATTTTTTGGCGCTTGCGAGAATGGCTCGGCATGAACCACTTCATGCCACCCGCCTGCGTCAGAAAGGGGTTGCCGCAGGCAAAGAAGTCGAAGCAAATCTGAGCACGCCGAGCTGGGCTAGGCTTGGTGCTTTGGTTGTGGCCAGGCAGCATCCAGAATCCATGGCGAGCCATCTTGACCGCCTCGCGGCGCTCCGAGCAAGGCACGCTTCATAACTGGCACATCCGACTAGATGTTTGACTCTCACCAACGGGCCAACGGGCCAACAGGCGGAGGTAGTCCATTGCCGGATACCCATCTTTTCCTAAGTCCGTGGAACCCGCCCCTGAAAAATGGACTTCCCCAAACTCCCTGCTGCGGCCTGGCAGCTCGGAGGTCGCCCCGGGCAGCGTCGACCTCGACTGAAAGAGACAAGAGCCTGAGGCCCCGGAGCTTGTCACAGAGGGCACCCAAAGAGTCCATGCGACTGGACGTTGCTGGTGCGATAGGCAGGGAATGAGGCAATGAACCCAGGATGTGGTACCAGTTGGATCATTCCATTTCTCACTCCCTGCATCGATTTCGCGCCGGCAAGTTGAAACACCAGCACTTTGTCGGCTTCCTTTCAGCAGGTTCTGCCGGGATCCGAGGCAATCGCCAGCCCCGAGCGGCTATGTGGCGAGAGGCGAGAGGCTAAGCGGCAGACACCAGCAGCCTCAAAGGCTTGGCATTGCGCAACTCCGACTCGGCGGCATAGATCTCATCCTCGCGCGAGAAGAGCTCGCGTAGAGCACTGTCCCACTCTCTCGCTGGGATGTCAGTCAAAGCCCAAGCTTGCGGAATGGCCAACAAAAACGCGCCGCGAGGAGGGGGGGGAGCGCAAGCCTTGGCATGGGCTTGCAAAACACTGGTGTTTTGTTTTTTTTGCAGCCCCTCACTGAAAGTGAACAGAACCTAAAAGCCTAGGTTCAATATGCCAGCAGCAGTGAAGGGGCTCCGATGACTGCACGGCTTTTGGCGGCCGAAGGTGGGCTGAGCCGCCTTTGGGGCAGGAACCCTCTTGTAAAACCAACCTGCCGTTGTCTTTTCTTCCACCTTGAGCCAGGGTCTCACAAGCAAACTTTCATTTGATCAACCTCTGTTTCGCATCTGGGCGCAAAGGGCCCGCCTCCACAAAGTAGGGCTGAGGACAGCTGATCTTGATCGCCTCGACGGCCTCCACCTGTGCCGATGTCCCTCCCACCCCTCCAAGCTCAAAGGCGCTTATTGCTATTCCTTACTTACGCTGGTATCTCAACATGAGCTACTTTCGGCACCGTCGCCTCAGTGATTTTGATCAACATGGCGCAGGAGTATCCTTCAACTCACTTAGTACTTAGGCCGCGTTGTGACCCCCAATCGGCTCCTCACCCTGAAAAATTCTGCGGTTTCAAGGACATTGATGCAGGTGATGTCCGCTGACGAGTCTGCAGGTTGCCAACACCGGGCCTACAGCCAGTCAGCATCCAGCTTCCCTCCAATTGGTGGTTTGGATTGGTAAGTACCGGTGGGCAGGGGTTCAAATCCAAATCCGAACCACCAATCCAAACCAACCTGACGAGTTACCTGAGGAATGGAGCCAAGCACCAAAACAGAAAACCGCCGGCGCTCTGCCATTCAACCCCTTCGTGCCTGACCAGACGCGTGCCCGGAGCCTGCACGGCTTCAAAGAGGAAACGATCCATGGGGATGCTCTGCAATCCAGTCCGGCAAACAACGGAAAGCGCCTGCCACGGCATGCAATGGTTTTCCCTTGTTTTCCCTTGCTTTCTCTTGCCTTCCTTCGCTTGACCTTGCTTTTTCCCTTGCGTTGCCTTGCTTTCCCTTGCTTTCCCTTTCCGTTGCTTTCCCATTTCCTTGCTTTCCCTTGCTGTCCCTTGCTTTCCTTTGCTTTGCCTTGCTTTGCCCGTGCTTTAGCTTGCTTTGCCTTGCTGTCCCTTGCTTTCCCTTGTTTTCGCTTGCTTTCCCTTGCTGTCCCTTGCTTTGCCCGTGCTTTTGCTTGCTTTGCCTTGCTGCCCCTTGCTTTACCGTGTTTTCCCTTGCTTCCCTTGCCTTGCTGTCCCTTGCTTTCCCTTGTTTTCATGGCTGACGCCCGCAGACGAACCATCAAGGCCGTCTACGAGGATCCCCGCACCGGCTTCGGCAGCATAGCGCAGACGCTGCAGCAGGCTCAGTCACGCGACCCAGCATCTCCAGAGAGGAAGTGAAGGCGTTTCTGGACGGCCTCCGGGTGAACCAGGACCGGCCGCAGAGGGGCTACAACACCTTCGTGCCTCTGGAGCCCATGAACCAGCTGCAGGTGGACCTGGCCGACATGAAGGCCTTCGGGGGCAAGCCCTACCCCTTCATGCTGCTGTCCCTTGCTTTCCTTTGCTTTGCCTTTCTGTGCCCGTGCTTTTGCTTGCTTTGCCTTGCTGTCTTGCTGTCTCTTGCTTTCCCTTGCTTTGCCTTGCTTTGCCCGTGCTTTTCTTGCTTTGCCTTGCTGTCCCTTCCTTTCCCTTGTGTTCCTTTGCTGCGCGTTGCTTTGCCCATGCTTTTGCTTTCTTTGCCCTGCTATCCCTTGTTTTCACTTGTTTCCCCTTTCACTTGCTTTCCCTTGCTTTTCCTTGCCTTCCTTTGCTTTGCCTTGCTTTGCCCGTGCTTTTGCTTGCTTTGCCTTGCTCTCCCTTGTTTTCCCTTGCTTTCCCTTGCCTTCCCTGGCTGTCCCTTGCTTTCGTTTGCTTGTCCCTGCTTTCCCTTTCCCTTTCTTTCCCTTGCTTTGCCCGTGCTTTTGCTTGCTTTGCCTTGCTTTCCTTTGTTTTCCCTTGCTTTGCCTTGCTATCCCTTGTTTTCCTTTGCTTGTCTTTGCTTTCCCTTGTTTTCCCTTTCCCTTGCTGCCCCTTGTGTTCCTTTGCTTTGCCTTGCTTTGCCCGTGCTTTTGCTTGCTTTGCCTTGCTCTCCCTTGTTTTCCATTTCTTTTGCTTGCCTTCCCATGCTTCCCTTTGATTGTCCTTGCTTTCCCTTTCCCTTGCTTTCCCTTGCTGTCCCTTTCTTTCCCTTGGTTTCCCTTGCTTTCCCTTGCTGTCCCTTGCGGTCCTTTGCTTTCCTTTGCTTGTCCTTGCTTTCCTTTGCTTTGCCTTGCTTTGCCTGTGCTTTCGCTTGCTTTGCCTTGCTGTCCCCTGATTTCCCTTGCAGTCCCTTGCTTGCTGTCCCTTGCTTTCCCTTGTGTTTCCCTTGCTTTCCCTTGCTTTTTTGTTGGCGTCCCTTGCTGTCCCTTGCTTTCCTTTGCTTTGACTTGTTTTGCTCGTGCTGTTGCTTGCTTTCCCTTGCTGTCCATTGCTGTCCCTTGCTTTGCCTTGCTTTCCCTTGCCTGGCTTGCTTTCCCCTACTTTCGCTTCCTTTGCCCTTGCTTTCCCTTGGTTTGCCTTGCTTTGCCTTGCTGTCCCTTGCTGTTCCTTGCCAGCTTGACCCAAGTCAGAGCAAACCAACAACTGCACAACCCTCCTGCACTGAATCACACACAAGCAACAACCCAAACCAGCGCCCGTACTTACACACCCCGTGTCGTCTCCCTGGGACCTGCAAACCAGCCTTGCGGTGGCAGAAAGTGCTCCAAAAAATACTCCCAAAAAATGTGAGTATTTTTCCTGCGACATCCCCAGCATCGCCAACCACCACAAAAACTTCCAAAACAAGCGACATCCCCTGCATCCCCGGCATCCCCTGCATCCCCGGCACCCCTTGTGCGCCCAAGTCCGGCGAGGCCGGAAGCAAAGTAAAATGATGTAAAACTGGCACGCTTTTTGCCCGCGAGAGCCACAGACGAAAAGGTCAGACATGATAGGCAGCGTCGACGAAAAAGCGCGAAAAACACAGGGAAAAACACCAAAAACCAGCCTTGCGGTGGCAGAAAGTGCTCCAAAAAATACTCCCATTTTTGGGAGTATTTTTCAGCTGACCAGACCTGCAAATCTCCCGGAACGAGGTTACCCCCCCCCCCCCCCCCACACCCCCCCCCCACAACTTCGTACACTAACTCCCAGCGCTTCAAGAAGCGCTTTCCGTCATCGCAGACGGCCGAATCCCGGCCTTTCCTTTCCAAGTCGCCCGGAAAGGGCAAGTCTCAAAAAGACAAACCCTAGACGAACTTGCGGCACAACTGAACGTTGGCAAAGGGCACCCAGCCGCCTCAAGGCTGTTCTGGCAAACCGCGCTGTGGCACTCCATGAGCTTGGTATCACAACACCACGCAGGTCACTCTGTTAGGGGAGAGGCCGCGAGGATACATGGAAAAACTAACAGGCATGGTGCTGATGCTGCAGGATTCTGACGAGCATGCACGTGAAGGCGCCATGATGAACAGGATGACTAGGTTGCTTTCTGCTCCCCTGCTAAAAGGTCAACTTGTAGTGGTTTAATGGAAAACCCACAACTTGGCAAAAAGTTAAAGTCCTAACATCCCTTGGCAAAATGCACCAAGGGTGAGTAGCAGGATGGCACGTGGTGGGGGCGCCAACGTCTGGCCGTGCCACGGGCCTTGCTCTCCCAGGTCCCTTCCAGGCCCTGGCACGGCTCGGCTGCACGCGTGCCGCGGCTGCGGCGCCCGCGCTGGCTGCAGGCACCGGCCCACGTGCACGCCTTGGCAAGGAGACATTCAATAGACTGGACTGTCGTCACATCCCCTTGCTTGAAGTGATTTTGCTTTTGGCTTTTGGAGGGTGGAACCAGCTTCCTTTTGCGGACCCTGGGCAATTTGCTTAAAATGCTTTTGCTTTTGGAGGGTTAAATGCGCGAAAGGGTTTGAAACAGTATTTCGGGAGAGAATAAACAGGCCCAATCCCACCAACAAGAAGAGATTGTTTAAGTCCCCCAGTCCCAAGGGCAAAGCGGTGCCCTCGGCTGGCCAAACACGAACCAAAACAGGGTGCCAGTTGTAACAAGGTAAAGAAGCCCAGCAAGGGCAGAGACAACCGAAAGCAAGCACAAAGCAGCAAACCAGGCAGGCAAACAATGCAGCGAAGCAAGCAAAGCAAACCGGTGCACGCCAACCCCAACCAGACCCCCGACCAACCTCCGCCAGGAACACGACCGCAAGCGCACAGCACCAACACCCCGTGTCGATGATGTGCGCGTCGCGCCGCCGCGTTTTGGCGCCGAGATTGCAGGCGTTGATTGACGGATTGAAAAGCTTGAGCCAAACGGCGCATTGGCCGTGGCGTTGAAACATGTTGCGATAAAACTACATGCCCCCAAAAACACCCCCCTCGCCTGTACAAAGAGAAGGAGTGAATTTGGAAGGGCGCATTGGCCATATTGAAGTTGAGTAGGAACAAACAAGGAAAAGCAGGAGATTAGGCTACCAGGGTTCACGACCCCACACCCGGGCACGCATTGGAGCCCGGATCCCGCCACCACCCCGAATTATGGGTATGGGGCGGATTCTCGCCGGTAGCCAAATCAAACAAGAGAAAGCAACAAAAGAAAAGAACAAAGGATCAACTTCGGAATGGCCGGCATGAAGCCAAAGAATTATCATTTGCATTCCAACCACATTGAACCATTCGATTCAAGTGGATTTAATTTTTAATTATTAGATTAGGCGCATTGGCCAGTCGGTTGAAACATGGTGCATAGACCAATGAGCCTTGGTTATAAATTAGCACCGTCTAGGCGCGCGATCATTCGAGGACAATCGCCATGGGTAGCAGCGATCCGCGGTCTAGGCCCGAGTAGGACATCACCGGCAGCGGTGCGGGGCATCCGTGATCCTCACCTCGGCACCTTGATGAGCACCACCACCAGCAGCAGCAGCGGTGCAGAAGGATGCAGATCACCAGCGGCCATAGACGCCGCCGAGAGTGACTGCCTTGCTGTGGCGACGCACACCTGACAGGTAATCGCAGCTTGCGCGAATAGCGCACAGCCACGCATGCAGTTGAATTCTGAAATGGCGAATAGCCCAGACAACGAAATACGACAAGGAGCATAGTCCATCTTGTGAATTCCGAAATGAAAGCATGCGCGCGTTGGCGCAGCCATGCAAAACGCACAGACAGACTTCAGGTATTACCGATGTCGTCCACCGCCGTGCCGCCCCTTCCCCTTGCTGACACTCCAGTCCCCAGGGGGAGGAGGCACTGTCTCGGCCAACTCGTCATCGTCACCCCAGGTAGGGGTATGCGGCGAGCTCGGATTCTCGAACTCGCGGGGATCACCCTGCATATGCGGCTGCCAACCCTGCGGCATTGCGCCAGGCCACATGTGTGGCATCATGCCAGCCATGGGCTGTTGCATGTATCCTCCCATTGGGAAAGTGGGATACATC